CCACCTCCAGCCCCGCAAGCCTTTTTGCAACTTTACAACAACCCCCCCCCCCTACATATATCTATAAAAAAAATCTCCTTTAAATATATATAAATATATAAAAATATGTATAAAAGAAATATATTTTTCAGTTGGAGCACAAAGGCGTCCGACTTGCTTGCTTGCTTGCTTGCTCGGGGTTGCTGGTGCCAACCTGGGCGCCAGGGCTCGGGGTGCAGAGAGGCTCCTGGAGCTGCTGGGAGGGCTGGAGCAGGTCTCAGGTAAGCCTGGGGCGATCTACAGGTGATGACTAGATGGAAGCCAAGTGACCCACAGTAGCTGCCTATTCCCCTCACTCTGATAATTAGCAAAACTTATCAATTACAGACTGTGCTTCAAGAGAGAGTTCAGTTTGAACCCAAACACTAATCAAGCACCAGAGAAGATGCTGCAGGAAACACAAAGTTTGATTTCCGTCGCCATTATATTCATAACCCTTTGAGAAGCAAGATTAGTCCCACATCGGAGCCCCTTAACAAATCCCTCTGAGGTTTAATGAAACACTTGGGTCAGAATTTCTCCATCGGGAGACCCACCAGTTAAAAGTGCTAGAGCATCTTTTGACACAAAACACATTGAAAAGAAAGAAAACCACATTTCCTCCACGCATCTCCTTGGCCTGCCTACTGGAAAGCTCAGCACACCGGTTTCTCTCACCTGCTACGTTGTTTTCCAGGCTGCACAGAAGGTGAAGACAACCTGAGATGACTTACAGAGACATTAAATGCACTCAGGCCTCCATTCACCCACCTGCGAGCACCTGTGAAACCAAGGTGGATCCGTGCTGGACCCACGGAGGTGTGGGGTGGAGGCTGGACCTGGTGTCCAGGTGGAGCCACGTAAGATGGACCAGCCAGCTGTGGAGATGCTAAGAGCACTGCTGACATGTTGACGAATGCTCCCTCCCCCTGGTCCTCCCACAGTCATTTATATTAATTTCTCCTCACCAGAGCCTAAATGGCTCTAATGAACAAGACACCAGGTCTTACTGCTGGAACACAAATATGCGAGCCACACCTTCTTCCATTCAAGCTCAAAACCCGTGACAAGCTCCCCTTCAGCCTCTTTTTGGTCCCACACGAAGCTCAGCTGCCCCAGAGCATCTCCTTGGGTCTGACAGGACTTTCCAGCCATGGCTCAGCTTGCGACAGCTTCCCCCAAGGAAAACTGCCTTGCTCTCCCCCCTGGCTGGGATGGGGGGCCCGCAGGGCAGGGCTTCAGAGTCGATGTATTTTTTGGTCCTTTTTAAAGCATAGGACAAAGCCATCACCAGGTGCTCCCTTTCTGCCAGGCTCAGCATTTTGCCCCCACTAAAGCTTTGCTTTGCTCCCCTATGGCAATCACCAAGAGAAATCAATATAGAAGCAGCCCAATTTTAAGGCTTATTGAAGAAAACCACCAAGATTTCAATGCCAATGTACAGCAGGGCTCAAAGCTCGCAGCTTCTCCTTCCCCAGCAAGGGCTGTGAGAGGCTAAAGCCATTTCTGAAGGATGCTATTTCACTTCTGTAACATCCTGCTGACCTCATGCCTCTTTGCCTCTACATGGCTTTTCCGCATGGGAAGATCCCATTGGAGTCATTGAGGAAAACCTGTGGATTGCCCTTGGATTTATCATTGCGCTGCTTTGGCCCTCTGAGGGAAAGTCTCCTTAAAACTAGATACTTTGTCCTGGAGGCTCAGCCTTTCCATTGCACTCAATGGTATTTTTGCCTGGGGAAGGGAAGGGCTTGGTTAATCTTCTCATTTCTCTGGCTGTTTCAGCTAAAATATTTCCAGTCCAGCCAGGACTGCTCCACCTCTGCCAGCCGTAGTCTGAGGTTATAAAGATTAATGGTCAGGCTTTGCCAAAAACAAAAAAAAAGAAAGAGTAATGAGAACACATATTTTAATAGTCTTTTTTTTCCTTTTTTCCTTTCTTTCTTTTTTTTTATTTAAAACTTGCCCTTTCAGGCAGTTTCCCATTGTCTGATAATCAAAGCTCCAGTCCCGAGGTGCCTAAACAGGTTTTTTCCATAGAAACCACTTCTGCCTCCTCACAGCCACCCTCTAAGAAATGATAACTCTCTGGGATGCTGTCGTAATCCCTCGTAGCAGCAGGGTATGATTTTCCAGACAGAAGATTAAGTGCTATTAATCCCAAGGAGGAGGAGGAGGAGGAAAGCAGTGCCACACGAAGCAGGCAGGGCACTTGATTTCCAGCGCCAGCAGTGCATCCCCGAATTAAGTGTGTCAGCCCCCCTGGGGCTGATGCAGAACACGCTGCTTCTCCCTAGGGCTGCCTCGTCCCCGGCCGCTACTGGCATCCGCGCAAAGCGGAGCCAATGGAGCCGCACGGGGGGAAGGCTTGGCCACGTGAGAGCGGGCTCATCGTGTCCAAAACCTGCCTGCGTTTCCCTGCAAGTCCCAAGCACGGACTGTGCTCGGGCCAAACCGCTTCTGCATAAAAATACATCCCAAGAAACCACAGCCTATGCAACCCCGCAGAGGAGAAGGAGACCACAGTCAGACAAGGCAGGCACAGGGGGACCCGGGCAGTCTCCATCACCCCAGCCCTACCTGCAGGAGAAAGTCGAAGAGGGCCAAGCGGCTCCACTCGCCGCACGGGATGCTGGAGCAGGGACCGTCCCCGGCCACCAGCGTCAGTCTGCAGGGCTGCAGCATCTCCTGGTACTGCAGCCACCCCAGGGCACAGGAGTTCTGGTCATTGTTGGCATCCTTCAGGTGCTGGAGGTCGGGCACCCACCAGATGATGGGCCGTGGGGAGCCGTCAGTGTAGCTGTAGGGCAGGAGGTGGCTGGTGAAGCGCCGGGCCACGGCAGGCAGGCTGCGGTTCAGTCCCAGCACCCTGTCCAGGTGGAAAGCCAGCACCTCGTAGAGGTCCCCAGGGCGCTTGATGAGCCCACAGTGCCTGTCCTGGCAGTCCCCCTCCAGGCTGGCTGGTGAGGTGTCCCCCTCAGCGTCCCCCACAGCCCGCAGCCCCACTCGCAGGACTTGCCCATGGGCCGGGATGCGGGTTTTGGAGACCACCTGCCCGTTGGCCAGCAGCTGCATCTTCTGGAGGTCATCATCGGAGAGCCACAGGGGAGCATCCCCGGTCAGCCCCCACCGTTGCCTTCTGCCCCGGCTGGGGGGCCGGTCCTGCCATAGGCGAGCAGGGGGCTCGGGGGACCTTTTGTTGTGGGCTCGTCCCCTGGGTAGGGGGACGGCCACCTCCCACCGGGGGTTTGGGGGGGACGATGCTGGCAGAAGGTGGGCGGAGTGGTCTGGCGATGGGGGCAGGCGGGCAAGGGCCAGCAGGGCCAGGGCCAGCAGCACCCCGAGGGCTGCCGAGGCGGGGGGCTTCAGTCCCGTCCTTCTCCACGGTCGCTGGGCCTGTGGGGAGAGAAAGGGAGAGCATTACCAGGGGTCCCCACGGCGTGCTATGGCCCGGGGATCCCCCAGACCTGTGTGCCCCCCGCCCCAGGCAGAGCTTTCAATAAGCTTAAATGGGTTTGCTTCGGAGGAGCAGCCCCTGTGCTTGTGTGCTGCCTGGGAAAGGTGTTCCCCAAGCGCTCACTGCCTCCGTGGCACTGTAGCAGGAGAGGTACAGCTGGTGGCATGATTTGTGCCAGAAATTAGCTGCAGTCCCTCCAGAAGCTGGTCAGATGTTGCCATGTCTGCAGCATTGATGTACAGGATAACCTTATGGGCAATGAATTCTTCATGCTCAAATATTTTGCTTTAAAGACTCAAGAAATGAAAAAGAAAAAAAAAATAGACAAAACCAGAGCAAATTCCTGGCTGGATGGGAATGCTTCCCCATTCCTAAGAGGTTTTTATCTTCAGACCTTACTCCGGACACCCTCAGTGGCTCCTACCCAGGTTGCGCACCCAGCCCATAACCCGGATCCCCGCGCCCTTGTTGGGAGGACATCTCAACACGTGCTGAGACACGGCCTCTGGAGCTCTGCCCATCGCTGCGTCCAGCAAAAGCAAGGGAGCTCCAAGTGCCAGTCAGGGGCTGTGGCAGCCTATGTTTAAAAAGGGTGCAAGCTGCTGTATCTGAAACATAAAATATTCTGATTCCTAGCACGAAGGAACTGCTTTTAGATGGGTACTACCAAGTTTTGGTGTATATATCTTTATACATATAGTTTTTTCTTCCTCCCACTTTTCATCATACTTTCTACTCTGAAGGGGCTTATAAAAATTATATAGGCTGGAAAGGCAGTTACGAGTAAATACTGTGCAAATCTCCCTGCATTCCTAAGCCAACAGATCTCTGCTTTGGCCTAAAGCAATCCCACATGTACAGCACCGGGGCTGCCCTGAGCACAGCACCTTCCCGTTCAGGGTGAGGTGGAGGGAAGCGAGGGGCAGCGCTGGAAGATCCTCTCAGCCCACCCCATCCCCGGGCCACACTGCACCCGTGCCATGTTCACCCGGGCTCGGGAAGTCTAACACGTTTCAAGGGGCCGGAGCAGCAAAAGGCACCTTGGTGCCACTTCTCTGCTTTACAACAGGCATTACCAAGTGGCTCAAACCCACGTTGGAAGTCAAGGCAACGTTCAAGTGGATACATTTTTTTGCAATTATTTATTTTGGAAGCACAAGTATATCCATGGCAGACACAGAGGGACAATATATTGCCAAGGAAGGGATAAGAGATTGTTTATAAGAGGAAAAGCTTGGAAAAAAAAAGAGCTAAAAAGCTGGGGGGAGGTGAGAGCCAGCAGCCAGAATGACTTCCAGAAAGCAGCTGGGCGAGCAGAAACATTTCCAGCCACGGGGCTTTTAGGACCGCAGGCTCCCGCCGGCTCCAGGGACCCACCACCAGCACGACTCCAGCCCTGAGAGGAGCTGCCCCAGGCGACCCCAGCGCGTGAGCCCCTTCATAAGCTGATCCAGCACTATCCTAAAATCCATCAGGCTTTGTGCCCTTGCTGCGGGGAGGCTGCTTCAGACAGCCCCATGGTGAGAAGCCACAACTCTCCCAAGGATACTACATCAGTCAAGGTGGATGAGAGGAGCTGCAAAGCCACCAACTCACTGGCAGCAGCCACGGGGGTTTTCCTTCGAGGTCTCCCTCTCAAGACTGAGCAGATTTAATGCAGCTTATAAGAGGTAGCAACGATGCACTTGGAGTGATTCAGCTTTATAGCTCTTGTTTAATTGTTTCTCTCCTAGAAATACAATGTAGTGCTGCAAAATATATCTGCTGAGCCAAATTCTTTATTCACACACAGCTTACACTGGCCTCTGCTGGGAGATGGGGCTGTCTGGTGTGGGGCTTTGGGACCTGCTGGGGGACTCCCCATTTAACTCTCCCTTAAAGCCCCAGAGTGAAAAAGGAGCTATTCCAGGATGAGACTGTTCAGAGTGATGTCCTGTCCTAGATCATGGGCAGGGTTATTCAAGGCTTGGTATTAACTGTTCCAGACACCATACTACACGGCTAAACTATTGCCTTAGGCCCCTTTCTGGGCAGGAGATGAGCACGAATACCCCCAAGCAGCCCCAAGGGGCAACAGGACTGGTTACGATGCCTCCCCAGCTCCATCCCGCTTGGATGGGATAATGCTTTGCTGCAGGCCCATAGCCGATGCCAGCTAACACAGGTGGCACCCGAGCTCAGCTACCCAAAACCTTCATGCCCTGAATTTCAAGCAAGTCCTGCAGAGTGCAAATGCATGCTTGTTCCCAAGCACCCGCAACTCAGGTCTAGCATCCTGAGCAAGAGTTCAGGGGAGGCGCAATGTCTAAATCACTGTTTAACCATAGTAAAATAAGGCTGTAGGTTATAAAGGCCAGATCCTGATATCCTGATATCCTTATTCCGTCCAAGTCATCACCATAAGTGCTTCACGATCTGACTCTCCAACCTCAAAGTATGCTGAATTAACTGCAACAACATCTATGGAGTTAATTCTGGTGGAGAGAATTAACTCCAAATCTCAGTACTCCCATCTGCATCCAGCTGAGATCCCTCCCCAGTCCGTGCTTCCCCAGGCACTTGTCCCAGCGTTTCCCCAGTCCCGCCCCTCTGGAGAGGCACGGCCCAACCCTGCCCTCACCAAAACTCCCCGTAAGCCTCTTCTTCTGCACAGAGGCTTTGCACGGTGATCATTTTTGTTATCCCCCCGATAATAACTCTTTGGACATTTACACCATCCCTGGGTGTGCAAAGAGCCTGGCTGCCAAAAATCCAAGCATCCTGGGGACGGTGCATGCAGGAGCTATTTGGAGAACCTTGGAAATACTGCAGGAAAAATCCTTTTTAATCCACAGCTGGAGAGCAGTGGATGCCAAATGGATGGCAACGATTGCCGGGTTTTTAGTGTCAAGTCAGTTTACAGTCCAAGTGGTTAAAGCATCATTACTGTCCAAGCCCGCTTCGTTTTCTCTGTCAGCGAGCTCGTGTTTGCACACCGCAAGTTAGAGCTTCATTTCTTTCCCACCCCAAGCCTGAAATCCTGTGCTGTGAAGCTGGGTGAGGGTCACCACAGGCTCCCTTCCCCATTCCCGTTCAGGGTTTTCCTGCCACATCAACAATTTAAAAAAAAAAAAAAAGTGCAAGTACAGTCTCTGTGTTATTTCTGGCAGTCAACATTGCAAATTTAATAAGAATCTAGATGAATGAACATTGCAGAAATAATACTGTGCTTGCAAACTCAAGGCGAATACTTTTCCAAAGAGACTTTATCTGAGCATGTGCTGTAAAAAAAATGCTGCAGTTTAAGCTATGGCTTCGATTCAACCTGAAATGCAAACCATACGTACAGCTCTGCTTTGCCAGCCTGACCTACTGACAGTACAGCATGCCTTCACTAGAAATTAGGTCCATTTCCCAGCGGACAAGCTACAGGCAAAACCCATAAAAAGGATTAAGAGAGGTACTGCTTGTTCCAGGATGCCAATAAGTAAATAATATATAGCCTCGATCATCAGGGGAACATACAGCACAGCCCGGGTTCCCGATGGCACGGCGGAGAGCCTGTGCAGCCTGGCCACTCAGGGATAAAACTTTCCAAGTGTGTTTGGGAGAGTTTTATCCCTGACATTGTATTCCCAGGGCGCTTGAACCTTGGCAGAATTTGAAGAAGAGAAGTCTGTTTTCAATTTCTTTTCAAAGTGCATCAAATTGGCTTTGTTGAGCTTGAAAGAAAAGAAAAACAAACCCCAAACTTCATTATCCAAGAATGCAAGATACAGCCCTAAACCTAGGAAGATGCCATGGAAATACGTGGCCTTTAAGAGTGGGATTGATTCCTGCTTTCCTCTGGCATCCAAAACAGTGCTCCTGCCCCTGTACTGGCATCGCCAGACCCCTCCAGCAGCAAATCCCATCATCCCATCCCAAAGAGATGCCTGAGGGAGCCAGGACGGCTTGGCCATGGCCATGTCCCTCTCAGCTGCCTCCCTGCCCTAGGCTCCTGAGCTCAGAGGATTTTGCCACAGGCCACCAGTGAGCAGGTTAAAAGCAGATACGTGCATTTATCTGGATGCACACTGTGCAGGCTATTTTTTGCAGGGATAGTGCAACGCACAGAGTTGTACTTACCCTCCCAGCACTGTGCTCGCTGCCCGCCCAATGAACCGCAAAACCACGTGGGCAGCAGGAGATGCAGCTCACCGTGACCAATTTTAACAAAGACTGCTTGAAAAGCAACTGGGAAACCTCCACTGGCTGCCCACTGCCTCTGGGAACATCTCCAGAGCCTTGTGCCCAACACATGGTGTTCGCGGCAGCTCCCGGCGTGTTGGGGAGGGAGGCTGAGAGAGGGTATGTCAACCAGATCCAGGAAGGGAACAGTCTTTTCCTTTTGGTTTTGACCAGTTTTTTTTCTTGGAAGGGGGTGGCACATGGGCTAAGCTCAGTGCTGGGTACCCATAACCATGCTGATGACGTGGAAGGAGACAAAACCCCTCCACCCCGAGAGTGACTCTGGGCAAGCCTGAGCAGAAAGAAATCCTTGGCAGCATCCGTCGCCCATCATTCAGGTGCTTAAGTGCCTTCCTATATCATCCTGCTTGGGGAAGACAGATGGCTTGCAGAGCAGGAATTTACTAAAGACAGCTATTAAATTATGACCGTCAGCCTTGAACATAGCTCTGGCTCAGAGCAGGGGGCTGGGCTCACCCCGCACAGTCGGTTCTGGGGGGACCACTGTGTTCCCCTCACACATGGGTCCCACCGCCACCCGCCCGCACCTGCACCGCCGCAGGGCACAAAGGAAGGATGTCCCTTCACACAGCCTCATGATCCATCAAAGTGGCCGTAATTCCTAGCAGACCTGCATCAGCTGTGTGTCTGGGGTTGTTTCCGCCGGGTTTTTTTCCTCCAAAATGCCCTTCAAGCGGGGGTGACCATGACCCCACTGCATTTCGACACCCTGAAAGCCACCCTGCTCAGTACCAGGGCAGGGATGCGGCAGGCAGGCATTGCCTGCCTGCTCAAGGTGCCCCTGCAGACCTGCTTCCATATGTTGCTCCTCATGAGTGGCTTGGGAAGCTCAAGCCAGGCACTGCGGAGCTGGGAAAGGGGACTGTGCTCCCACAAACCGTATGCAAGGGTGTCACAGCAAATGCTGGGTCGGATGAAACCCCGGAGAGGGAAACCTGATATATTGCCACATGATGCTGGGTCCTTCTCTGCAGAGTCAGCAAAGTCCTCGTAGCTGGCACACAAGCCTTCCCACCAGCATGTCCAAAACCAAACCAGAAAATTACCAAGTTAAATTGCCCAGGATGAGACTTTAAAACATGCTGTACTTCGCTAAATTTTGGACAGTCTGCAGAGCTTCTGCCTCAAGGGGATAATTTATAGTCTAATTGCAAGACAAGCGTGCTTTGCGCTAGCCTAGGACAACACTCCAGCAGCAGCACAAAGGGATGAGCACTTTAACTTCCAAAATAATGTTGCCTTCACGTTTCTCCCCAGTTATTGCTACAGCCTTGGGGCAGCAAACTATAAA